TGGCTCAAAGTGGTAGAGCACTAGCCTTGAGCAAAAGAGTTCAGGGAAAATGTCCAGGTTCTGAGTTCAAGCCCCACAACCAACAAAAAGATAAACAAATAAATAAATGAGTCTGCAAAAACAGCCACATGGGGACAGCCTGGAAAATTAGGAGGCCTGGATCTAGAGGGAGACCTTGAGGTAGCAGCTTCAGAAATTAGTGACTTGCCATTAGTAATCTACGCCTTCACCCCACCTCCACAGGTGATTTGCATTCTAGGGAAGCCAGAAGTATGGGGTTCAGTGCCTGAGGGGTGTTCCCAGAGGCAAGCTTAGGGAGGAGATGAGAGAGGGAAAGAGGGAAGAGAGGGGCAAAGGGCTGGGAAAGGCTGGGAAATGGGGCTGTGACAAAAGTCAGTAAATGATAGAATGTTCCACCTGGAAGCTACTTTCAAGACTGCCAAGTCCCAAGGCCTCATTTCCATATGAGAAAAGTGACAATCCAGAGATTTATAAAAGAGAGCTGAAGCAAAGGAGAAAAAAGAAAGGAGAGATGAGAAGATCAGGAGGAAATAAGGAAAGGAGGGAGAAAAAGCAGGATCCAGGCAGGCCACTTTATGTTGACCAACCCAAGTCCAGCCACTCACCAATTGAAAAGCCAGTACTCGGGAGAGTGGGTGGGAAGTCAGATTTAAAAAGGCCAGCCCTGAAAAACAAAGCATCTTGGGAACTCAGGTACATGGAAGAGAGAAGGAAAGGAGATACAATATGACTATGGGCTGAGCGGGGTCTTTATTATCTAAGGCAGATTTGTGCCAGGATGCCAGTGGTTCACACCTATAATCCTAACTATTCAAGACGCTAAGATCTGAGGGTCAAAGTTCAAAGTCAACCTGGGCAGGAAAATCTAGAAGACTTTTTATCTCCAATTAACCATCAAACAGCTAGAAGTAGAGCTATGGCTCAAGGGGTAGAGCACTGCCATCCTTGAGCAGAAAAGGTAATGGACAGTGCACAACCCTTGACACCAGCAGCAGCAGCAGCAGCAGCAGCAGCAGCAGCAGCAGCAGCAGTAGCATCTCTGGATTGCACGAGGAATCCTGTTTCTTTAGCATTACTTTTCTGCATGTTACACCTCACAGTCATTTACATGCTTTATGTTAGTGACCGCACAGGACTAGCCTAAGGAGAGGAGGAGTGCTCCACATTCAAATGCTATCTGAAGTTTCCCCTGATGTTCTGGGTTCTAAAGAGAGAAGAGCTAAAGAAAGATTACTTCATAGTTAAAAAACCTTAATTACAGCCCCGTGCCAGTAACTCACATCTGTAATCCTAGCTACTCAGGAGGCTGAGATCTGAGGATTGAGATTCAAAGCCCAGGCAGGAAAGTCCTAGAGACTCATCTCCACTTAAACCACAAAAAGAAAAAAAAAAAATTTAAAGGCTACACATAGTGGTATAGCTTAAGTGATAGCACACTCGCCTTGAGCAAAAAAGCAAAAGCCTAGCCCTCAATTCAAGCCCTAGCACTGGCACAAAAAGAAAAGTCTTACTGAGGTGTGGCTTTTCTTCAGAATGTAGAAATGTGGAACAAAGGGAGAGGAACTCTACCCAGGAAGACTCTCAAAGGAGAGGCCACAGTTACATCCCTGGCTTTGAACTGCTACAAACTCCCGGGCCTGTCTGGCCTTCCTCCCTACTGCCATCTTTCAGCCGTGCCAGCAGATCCAGCCTTCTTCCTCCAGCTGCAGCCCAGGATCTGAGATCTAGAGAGAACCCGGGCCAGGACCAGGTGCCCAGGGCCGCCCATAGGGCTGGAACAGCACCAGGGTGTTCGCTTCCTCCTCCTTATCTCCTTTGTTTAATGAACACATCTCCTTTTTTCTCTAATTAGGTGGAACAAACAACTTGAACTAGAATTTTTATTTCCCAGAAAAGCACACGCCCGGACACAGTAAATATGTCATTAATCATCGTTCTGAGACAGGGCAGAGAAGCATGCTGGGTTAGGGGAGGAGGAAGTAGGGAGGAGGAGAAGCAGTCAGACAGCATAATTAGAGTTCAGCCTTCCCACCCCCCTCCCACGGCTCCCCTCCCACTCACGCCCACCCTCCCCTGCCCCCAGGGGAGGGACTGAGCACAGCTAAATTTATGTAAATGTCCCTTGTTAGCACCTCAGAAATGTAAAGAAAAGGAAATGGGAAGAACAATCACTCCCCCTTCCCTCCTCTCTTCCTCCTACCCACCCCCCACACCTCCCAGGTCTTATTTTCATCCAGGAAATTGTTCTTATTATCAAGTAGCTATTTATAGACGTGGCGAGGTCTACTGAGCAGCCCCTAGCCAAATATGCTACCACAGTTCTCCACTGCTTTTCCTTTCCCGGCTTTGTTCTGCAGGAAAAAATTGAGCCTTCCCCAACTGCTTGGGGAGGGGGACCCTTTTCATTGAGCATCCTGGCTCCAGAGGCTGATCTGAAGTCACTCCTCCTGTGGGTTACTTGAACCAGCCTCTTGGCCTGCTACAAGTGACCACACACACACACACACACACACACCATACAAAACTCACTAGTCACTCTGCCCAGAGCTGGGGCTACAACCCTGCTTCGAGGAGAGCAATGTGCCAGTTCCCCAGAGTGTAAGAATCCAAAGCCACTGTTCTGCTCAGTGGATCTTTCTAGAATGCCACAGTCTGGCTTGGCCTAAAGAGGGATGTGCTGCAGTGAGCCCAAAGGAGGATACTCTTAGGAGAGGAACAGAAAGCACAATGCCTACGTGCATTTGATCGTGCAAAATACTATCTATTGAACTCCAGGAAATGGAAACAACAGATTTGTTTCCCCTTTGTGGCTGTTTTTATTTTGTTTTCTTTTTGTCTTGAATGTTCCTTGATGTGTGTTTGGGAATGTAAAAGGAGGCACAGAAATGGAGGGACGGAGTAAACAAACGCAGCAGTGGTACTCACTAGAGACTAGGTGGAAAATGGAACTATACAACTAACTTGTGGATGGGGATGGGAGGGAAAACTGGGAGAGAGCAAGGGAAGGTGTGACACTGTCCAAAAATCAATGTCGTCTTTACCTGACTTAGGAAATGGTCACCCCTCACCTTTATAACAATTAAAAATATTAAAACCAAAAGGGAAAAGAGGGACATGCAGATCTGGTTAAAGGCTTCCGCCTGCTTCTCATCATCCCAGAGGCCGCAGCGTGGCCTCGGTTGGGAAGGATCACACTGACAGAAGGCCCAGAGGGCCGGGTCTGCCCTCTTCAAGTTGCCTCTAAGCACCTCAGAAACTGACCTCTGAAACACTTAATCCTCAGGTGGGGCTCAGAGGTCCCCACTCTAAAGTGTGAGGTCCGGCTCTGACTTAACTCTCAGTCTCTGACTCACACTTGGAATTCATAATGTTCCCTTCCTTCCTGCCCCACCCACGCCCACCCTGTGAAACTGCAAGACATTCCACAATTGTTTTATGGAATGTTTCAAGGAAGTAGTGTCATTTGTCCCCTGCTCTAGGCCAAACAAAAGTAGACTGCATCTGGCAGTCCTTCCCCTGATCAGACTAGAAGTCTCTGACAGCTTAAACAGCCAAAGAACTCCACACACAAGACCTCCCCAACACATGTCCACCTAAGCGGGCCCACACTGTGGGAGAGATGGCTGGGAAGAGACACAAGGGAAGGAAGGAAATAGTAACCACCAGGGGGGAAGACACTGTAAAACAATGAACTTGGAAGAGAGGAAGCTGTGGCTTTAGAATCTGTTTGTGTCCCAGAACTGACATAAGCGAGCATCACCACATGATGCTTAAAACAACAGAAACTTGGGTCAGATATGATGGTATACACCTGTAAATCCCAGAACTCAGGAAAGAGAGTCAGAGAGTTGAGAGAACATGACCAGTTTGGGCTATAGTAAGACATTCTCATTGAATCAACACGTGCGGGTGCGCGGGTGCGCGCACACACACACACACACACAACCAGAAACATGTGTCTCACTGTTGTGGAGGCTAACAAGTCTGAAAACAAGGTGTTGCCAGGACCACACTGCCGTTAAAGGGTCTAGGGAAGAAGGCTTCCTTCCTTTTCTAGCTCCTGGTAGCTCCCAGAGTTCCTTGGCTTGTGGCAGCATCATTCAATCTCTGCCTCCATCAAAACATGGCTGCCCAATATCTCTAATGTCCTCTTCTAGGAAGGATGCCAGTCATCGAATTTAGGATCCTTCCTAATCTAGGATGATCTCACATTAAAAAAAAAAACTTAACTAATTCATAATCAACTAATCTGCAGAGACCTTATTGCCAAATAAGATTATATTCTAAGGCCCTGGATACATAGGAATTTGGGAGATATTGGTCAACCCACTGCAAGACTCTAGTGCTTGTTTCATCACCAACTTAAAGCAGATTTGTTAAGTTCCATGGAATCTCTGTCTTCACACACACACACACACACACACACACACAATGCTGTATCTATCATGTTGTGGTGGGTGGAAAGAAATTACTTGAAAAGGTGTGAGAGTTTATATAGAAAAATAACCACAGGTCGGTGTGCAGAGGTTTTGTCCTCATCCCTACCCACTCCTCTCCTTCTGTCCATGCCCCTGACCCCTCCCTCTGCTGCAGACTCATGACCCAACAGCCACAAAGCAGCAGCCTGATGCAAACCCTCTCCTCCATGCAAACCTGAGACTCTTCAGAGAACACCGGAGGAATGTCCTTTGACTTCTACAGAAGACCCTCCCTAAAGCCTGATTTCCATTAAGCCTAGCTTGGTCTCTGCTATGCTTTTGGCATACACTGGTTGTCATATACAATGACAGCCTTTCTAGTTCTCCGCCCCCTCTACCCCTACCCCAACAGCCCAGCACTCAACCAGGCCAGGGAGCCAAGGGTAGTTCTTCACAGAGACTGACACCCCTGGTCTCCTGAGCTGACCCCATGTACACGTCCCAGCCACAGTGTCTCTTCTCTGAGCTGGAGACTATGCTCCCCTTACCCACCCAAGCCAGCCCATCCCAGTGACACATAGCCTTCTTTCCCTTCTCCTCCTCCCACTCCAGACCCTGCTTCGAGATGGCAAGCGTGAGAGTATCGTCAGCACGCTCTTCATTTCCCCTGGTGATGTGGAGAATGGACAGAGCATTGTCTGCCGCGCCACCAACAAAGCCATCCCAGGGGGAAAGGAGACCTCGGTCACCATCGACATCCAACGTGAGTACCGACTGGGTTAGGCTGAGGTTGGAGGTATCGGCTCTCCAGAGTGCACGTGTCCCCTCCCAGATGTCCCTCCTAGCCCTGTGCTATGACATCACCTCGCTGCATGCTGGTGGCCGCTTAGTTGGAATTCATATCTGCCTTTGCATTCCATCCACTTTGAAGCAAATGCCTTTAACCCCCCAAAAGTCCTGATTCATCTAGGACTTCTACACTGGCTTCACTTAGCTCTCCAGGGATCTAGGGTCTAGGAGAACTAAGTCTCAGGGTTTCAGGATCCATCTTGGCAGCCCAAGAATGCAAGTTTTCCCCTCCGTGTCAAGAATCTTGCTTGACACCATTTAGATTTTAGAGGAAGGAAGACATGGTTGCATCCGATGGTTTCCAGACACTCTGGAGAAATGGTCAAACACTTGAGAAGGCTTAACCTTCACTATCTTGCCATGGTACTCTCACCTGAAGCTCTTTCCATCCCTCATTCTGTGAGAAGGAGACCGGCAGGGTTAGGGCTAGGGAGGACCAATACCTCCCTGTCTCCTGGCCTTAGTTCCTTCCTGGCTTCTCAGCTCCACTTATTTCTGGTAAGCCAGTGAAACAGCTGGAGATCTGGAGAGAAAGCATGATGCTGTTGGGCCAGGAGGTCTAGCATCCAGAATGGCTTCCCCTCCTCCCATGAACTGGGTGGGACTCACTAAGCTTGTCACTCATTCCTGGAATTGATTTGACTGAGGTTGTCTTAAGATCTTACCCTGCTCTAGAATTGTCTGTCCAGACATAAGCCAAGTCTGAGGGGAGACCCAAATGTCCAAGCCCTCCACTTGTAGGCTACCATTTGTAACCACAGTGTGGCGCCCCATGCTCCTTTCCCCCATCCCCAACCTAAGCATGATGCCAGCAGCAGAATCTGCACAAATGAAACAACCTCGCTGATTCCCCCCATGAGAGCAACCGGGACCCTGGAGAGGATGGACAGGGAAGAAGCAGCATTTCTGCTCCAGGCCACTGTCCATCACCCCGAAAACACCTCTCCCAGCAACAAGACAGTCATCTTGCCAACAGCCCACCCAGCTATTCAAAGGCATCCTCCAAATGCACTCCAGTGAAAAGATCAATTTGCCAAGGTGCCCAGATGATGAGATCTGCATCCAAAAAAGGAGCATGGCCTCACCAGGTCTCTGGGCCTTTCCTGGCTTTCTTTCTAAGCATGTCTCCAATGTGGCTGCATGAGGAGAAAGGGATTAGGAATGAGGCCAGAGAAAGATTTAGAACCAAGTGCCCAGTTTCCTAGCTGGATCCCCTTCCACAGCAGTACAGGGAAGTGATGGAGACCCAGCAATCTTCCTGGTTTGAATTCTGAGTAAGCACTGGGGGATCTCAATTGCTCTGTGCCTCAGTTTCCTCCTTGGCATATGGAGGACATTATGTCTCCCTCCTGCAGTTGCACAGGGAGGATTAAATGAAATCATCTATGTCCCTTAGCACTGTGCCTGACGCATTATGAGAGCTACATGAACTATTTTTTTAGGACCCCTGTGCACAGGTGTGTGGCAACCCCTATTCAGGTGGCCCCCAGTTCCATCCATCTATCCCAGCATTTCATCTCCCTCAGTCAGAAGGTGTTTCTATGTACCTGCCCAGCCAAAGCCAAGCCCCCCTCCCTTCCCTTCTCCTTCTCCCTCCTCCTCCATCGATTCTTTGCTCATTCAGTCAACGTCCAACTGTTTGCCGTGGACCCCACCGGCTGGATGAGATCTGCCTTTGCAAACCTGCTCGTTTTCTCAATCGACCAAGAAGCATCCAAACTCAGCAAAAAGCACATTTGTTGTTTGTTTCCCTTGGTCTTTATATGTTACCCAACGGAAGACAAAGCTCCCAGATTGACTAATAGGGAGAGAAAGCTTAGCACCCCCAAAGCCTCACCACATCTGGACTCTGCGTCCAGCTGCCAAGCTTTAAGTGGATGCACTATAAAATCACTGAGTCATGAAGTTTCTTTCCCCATCCCCTCCTCCATGTAATGCTTTCTCTGAAAACACACAACACATACACACACACACACACATACACACATATACAGGTTGCTGATGGAAACACTAACAGCCTCTCAGCTGTAACATCTGTTCAAAGTGATCTCAGTTCCACCAGCTACATCAAAGCTGCCCTCCTGCAAGTTATGCAGCCGACATCACAAGTGGGATTAAAATCATGTTTAATAGTTGGATATGACATAAACTATTTATACCTCCAGAGCTTGGCAGGCTTCTGAGAACTCATACCTCACACATCCAGAGGAGAGGGGTAGAGAGAAGGATGGATGGCTCTGGGTCTGGGGATAAAGGTATCGATGAAAGTGGGGGGTATGGAGCCCCTTGGGGGTCCTGAAGCCCCTCTGGACATGCTGGGGCCAAGAATATTACAGTGAGGATGGGAGGAGCAGGAAAGAGGGCTCCACGGGGCGAACTGCGAGTGAGGAGGGGCACAATAGAACATGGGCAGCAGGAAGGTCTTCCGACAGGTGCATTCTCCCTGTCTCCTTCATAAAGAGCACTTGGGCAAGAGATGAGCCCAAGCTCGGTGGCAGGTTTCGAGATTCGGCTGCACTGATGCCCTTTTCACTTCCTTCAACGAGAGTTACACGGAGGGCCTCTGCCTCTCAGAACTGAACTTCATAATGTGTGAACACGAGCCAGCTGCACATTGGGGTTCAGAAGGAAGCTGGTAAGCTCCTAGAAGCTGCAAAAGAGGGGCTGAAAAATTTTAGAAGCTATGTCAACAGTTCTCTTGGGAGGTGAGAACGTGCATCTTAGAACCCCTGGAGTTATACTTAAAAAAACAAGAATAAGCCAGGCACCAGTGGCTCACACCTGTAATCCTAGCTATTCAGGAGGCTGAGGGCTAAAGATCAAAGTTCAAAGCCAGCCCTGGGCTGGAAAGTCTATGAGACTCTTAGTTCCAATTAACCACCTAAACGCTGGAAGTTGAGCTATGGCTCAAGTGGTAGAGCACTAGCCTTGAGCACAAGCATCTCAGAGACAACGCCCAGGCCCTGAGTTCAAGCCCTAGGACCAGAAAAAGAAAAATCTAAATTAAAGCTCCATAACATCACTTAGAACTCCCTGTGAAAAGACAGGCAGGCTGGCTGCGCCTGCAACAGATGCTTCCCAGATTTGTAGTCCCCCATCCGGAACCAGGGAAGAACAGACTCCCCAGCACAGGTGGCCACCTGCTGCTGAGGAACAAGAGTTCTCTCCCCATTGTCTGCAGACTCGAACACAGCCTGGTGGGTGTCTTCCGGTCCCAGCCCCTGTGCTGAGCCCTGAAGGTGAGCAGCCTGAGCACCTGCTCATAAAGGGGTCCCAGCGGTTACAGGCTCCTATCCTACAGACAGGCTTGGTCCGTGGCTGGGCGGTGGATGGGTCTGTGAGAGTCTCAGGACTTCATCTATACTGAGGACCCAAAGCCCAGACAGGACAGCTGGAGGGAGTCTTGCTCCCTGCGGTGACCCTGATAGGGACTAGAGATTTTTCTGACAGACTCTGGGAAAATGCCTTATTTCTTTACTTAAGCTGAACCCTGAAAAAAGCCTTGTGAATTTTTAACAGTTTTCTGGGTACTAGCCCAGAAAGTGGAGCTCAGGGTACTAGCTGATCTCTACCTCCATCCCTCTGCTGTAACTCTATTCTCATGCTCGCATCCATCTCTCTGTCTCGCTGTATATCTCTCTCGCTCTTCTCTCCCTCTTTCTGTCTCTCTCTGACTCTGTCTGTCTGTCTGCCTGTCTCTCTCTCTTTCCTCTGTTCTTTGTTATTTTCTTTAGTCTTTCTCCCCAACACCCTGTCATTATTTTTCTGCCTACATGTGCTATGTCTCCCTTGGTCATTTTTATTTTTAGTGCAATCTCTCTCTCTCTCTCTTTACCTCCCCCCTTTCTCTCTCTCTCTCTCTCTCTCTCTCTCTCTCTCTCTTTCCCCCTCTTTCCCTTTCTCTTTCTCTTAGCACCCTTCCATAACTTTCTGTTTCTCTGTTTTGGGGGTTTGTTTATTTGTTGCTTTTGAGACCGAGTCCCAGGACAGCCTCAAACTCACTATGTAGCCCAGGCTGGCTTCAGACCCATAATTCTCAGTCTCCTCAGTCTGAATTACCAGTGTGTTCTAGCATGCCAGGTCTTTCTCTTTTCTTACTCTTCTGCATTTCTTAATGTGCATGTTTGTTTCTTTCAGGCCTCTCTCTTTCCACATATCTGCACCAGTCTCTCCGTCCCTCTCAAACTCTGTCGATGTGTCTCTCAGATCTCTGTCTTCCTCTATGGTCCCCATGTTGTATATATCACTGCACCTGCCACCCCCCCCCAGCTCTTCTGCACGGGTCTCTGTGTGTCTCCACAGCCCTAATTTTTATCTCTCTGTCTCTTTCCCTATCTGTGGCTTTCAGTTTCCTCTACCTCCCACCACTTAGCACTTCAGAGCTTGACTTCCTATCATGTTAAATGAGAAACAGAGCCGCAGCCTGGAGAGCCCAGGGCCTGCCTGGTGTCACCAGTCAGGACTTGGCAGATGATTACACTGATGAGCGGGTGTTAATGCCGCTTTCAAGTTACCAGTTACCAGATGCCCCAGAACCTTTACACAGAGAGATCATAAACAGACACTTCAAAGGCACTTAAGCTCCTCCTGAACCAGGGCTGAGCATCCATGATCTCTCATGCCCCATACCTTCTTCCCAGCTCTTCTTTCTGAGGTACTTTGTTCCACCTGGAAGCTACAGTTGGACAATGAGCTCCTGCCGCCGAGGCAGCTGCCACTAGCTGTTCAATACCAGGCCTTGAATCCACAGAGAGGTCACGCCCCCTCCCGGGCTGTCGGAAGCAGGTGCCTCCAGGAACTAAAGGAACCTCCTGCTGACCATCTCCAGACCACCAACATGCAGGAGACTCCTAGGGTGGTTGCTGCTGGAAGGGCCCCTGGGTGGTAGGCTCTCTGCCCTTCCCCTCCCTGTCACCCCAGAGGTTTCCTGCCCCATTCTGTCTCCAGCTGGCGAGTGAATCTCTTCTCCCTGCAGATCCTCCACTTGTCAACTTGTCAGTAGACCCACAGCCGGTGCTAGAGGACAACGTCGTCACGTTCCACTGCTCTGCAAAGGCCAACCCAGCTGTCACCCAGTACAGGTGAGCCCCACCAAGGTGGAGGGACAGCCTGGCCTCCCACCGCACATCCCCACACCTGTCACGTGGGATGTCACATAGCCACAGCTTGTGGCTCACAAGAGGGGGGTCCAAATAGCTTCCTCTTTACCTCCTCACTCTACCTCCTCCCACCTGCCCCCCAGGTGGATTTCCTTTCCTTCTCACTTCAGTGCTAGTCTATTTTCTTAGCACATGCGTGTAACTTGGTGGGGAGGAGGGAGGGAATGGACCACTCCTGCGCATGCGCGCACCATCTTTTGCACACGGAACCCTCTTTCTGCGTATGCGGGGTTAACTTCTTTTGTCCATGCGTGCACTCCTGTTTCCACCCAAAGGAGGAAGTGGTCCACCTCCTTTTTAAGTTCTTGGTTTATCCTCTATTTCTGAACAGACCAGAGAGGCTCAGGTTAAAGTTCACACAACCAGGAGAACCAGAAAGGCCGGGCTTGTGCTTGTTTACCTGGACAGGGTCTAGAAGGCACCTGGAATCCCAGATATCCACAGCACAGATAAACCTTGGCTGTTCTTTACACGCTTGTCTCTGCCTTTTGACCAACCATCTCAAAAGCAAGAGCTGCAATTTAGTCACTTACAGCTCTCTGCATGCAGCCCAGCACGTGGCATAGACTTGGAGCTCCTCACATGCGTCTGGCTGATGGAATAAAAGCAGAGCTGCTCCTCTGGTTGCTCCCTGCTTGCGCCATCACCACATAGAGTTCCAGAAACTAAGTGGTCCTCGGAGAGGCTGTGGGAGGGGGGCCCAAGATGTTCACCCCTTTTTTTACATGCCAGCAGAACTCCCCCAGGCCCTAACTCTGCCCCATCCCTTCCCACCAGTCCAGGCTTGATGCCCAGCCCAGGGTGCCACCTCTGACATTGATCTGGGTTATTAAGCTGCAGCCTCAGCAAGTTTGCTAATGGCCCAAGACCAAGAAAGCAGCCGTCCAGGGGAAGCAGAGAAAACATACAGGCAGGGCAGCCCCAGCAGGCAGAATGAAAGGAAATGGGCCAAAGAGGCAGCATGGACTCAGGTTGGACATAAGGAAACAGCTCCCTGCCGTGTAGATAATTAAGCAGCACTAGAACCAGAAATCCAGAAAGGACCAAGAGCTTCTCCCTTGAGGACATTATAAAATAGGCAGAAAACCCATGCATCCTGCCTAACTTAACCCTGCCAACACTGGAGCCAGCACGATCAGATGACCTGCAGAATCCCTTCCAAGCAAAGGAGATCAAGCTCCTAGACATGCCATGACCCAGGCAGAGCCAGGGAGCAGGTCTGTTTTGGCTGGGGGTCTACTTCTTCTCCAGAAGTGACTGAAGGGAAAAACCATGGTCTGTAAATACCAAATATAATATGCCCAGAAAACATTGCTCATGCCCATTTCACCCCAGAAGACATTATTTCCCATTCACTCTTGCAGTCATTCCCCAGATGGCTGTGTAACCCAGGGGTCTGGATGTACAACTTTCAACTTCTATTTTTTGTCATTGTCAGGCTCCCAGGCACCCAAGGACCTAGCAATGAGAGAGAGGGTGGCAGGAAGGGGGGGGCAGATAGCAGGACAGTTTACCTTACCTCTGCCCACAAAGTTGATTTTTCACCCCGGACTTCTTGCCCCCACAGGTTGAGCAAACCTGGGAATATCTGATGGCTGGGCAAAGTTTAACTCCTTCCTCAAAAACACAGAGTAGTGGGCTGGGAATGTAGCTTAGTAATAGTTTGCTTGCCTAGCATGCATGAAGCCTTGGGTTCAATTCCTCAGTACCACACAAACAGAAAAAGCTGGAAGTAGTGCTGTTGTCTTGAGCAAAAGAAGCTCAGGGACAGCGCCCAGGCCCTGAGTTCAAGCCCCAAGACAGGCAAAAAAAATTACATATATATTGATTTACTTTCCCCACCTGACTTTGATAAAATTATAAGGATCTTTTTTTTCTTTTCTTGGTTGATCTTGATTGCTTCCTCTCTGGTCTGCCTAAAGATCTATAATCTCTGAAATTAGACAACCATCACCCCCATAAAGGAGCCCGAGCAGGACCCAGAAGCTGTCAATTTAGTCACACACACACACACACACACACACAGACTAAAAGCCCCCAAGACAACAGAACAGGCCCAATCACAGTGCAAAGGACTCTGGTTCTTTGTGCCTCGGGTCTACCTGCAGAGAGCAGTGTGAGGGGCCAACATTGTCAACATGAAGCACAAAGCTACTTGACATGCCAACCTGATAGCTATGACACGTTGGGCTTTCCGATTCTGTGATATAAATAATTAATCCTCTTACATTTGTTCAGACCAAATTAGACATTGATTGAGAAGGGGTAAAGCTGACTCGATTCACAGAGGGCCTGGGAGAGGTGGTGGAGATGGGAGGAGGAGGCTGGATCACAGGGAAGCAGTGGGGGAAGAGATGGGCGAGGGGCCGGAGCACCCTTGGTTTCGTGCCTCCGTCCTCTGGCCCCCTCTTTGTGCTTCTGGGAGGGGCCCTCAGAGGGGTATTTGGGGTGAGAAAGAAGCAAAGGGAAGACACAGTGGCTGAACAAAATGGAAGCAAAAAGAGCTGACGCATGGGTCAAGCAGTAAAGCACCTGCCTAGCAACCACAAGAAAGATCCTGAGTTCAAAATCCCAGTACTACCGAAAACAAGATGTGAAGCGAGGGCTTTGCAGAGACCAAAAGCACCTCCCCAAAAGGCCCCGGCCTGAAGGGCTCCTGAAGACCCAGCTCCAACAGTCAGCTCCTGCCTGTGACCTTGAGAGGTGACATTGAGAGGGTCTCTCCCTCCGCCCCTGGGCCACAGAAAAAGCTAGTTCTGACAGCACAGCTCCCCTGACCCAGGAAAGCTGCCTTTCCCACAGCCTGCAGGGCCCTCCTGTCTTTTCCTGCTCTGACTCCTACAGGGGAGAGGAGAAGCCATCATCTGGTCTGAAAGGAAGGGAACCTAAATGCTGGAGCACTGGGTTCAAAGCCTTCTGTACCCCAGCAGTCTTCCTGATAAATCAGGATCAACCTGGTCAAGCTTCATACCCCTGGCTCCATAAATAGCTAGGATCGGAGGCCTGGCCTCCTCCAGATCCATTCGGCCCCCCACCTGGAGGGAATAGGGTGGAGGGAATAGGTACTGGACGTAGATCCCCAGCTGTGTGTCTGGAACTGAATTAATCCCCCTCAGGCAGGGGCTGTGCCTGGCTATTAAGTCTGGTCATTAAATTAACGTTAAGAATTGAAATGATTCATGAATAACTCATAATGGTTTGTTGGGAAGCTCCTTAAGCTCTCAGGGAGCTATGGTTTGCTCTGTTGTTAAACTATAATTGTTATTATTAATCGTGTTCTTAATAATTACTCAATATTAATTCAAGATAATAACTACATGGTGCCAGGTGCCAGTGGCTCATGCCTGTGATGCTAGCTACTCATGAGGCTGAGATCTGAGGATCAGGGTTCAAAGCCAGCCAAGCCAGGAAAGTCCATGAGACTCTTATTCTTATCTCCACTTAACCACTCAGAAAACCGCAAGTGGTGCTGTGGCTCAAGTTGTAGAGTGCTCACCTTGAGCTGAAGAACTCGGGGACAGTGCCCAGGCCCAGAATTCAAGCCCCATGACTAACAACAACAACAACAATAATAATAATAACCACAACCACATGGAGCCAGCCTAAGTGTTCCATGGGATGCAGAGAAGTGGCCAGTGTCATCCCTCCCCCCACACACACACAATGATCACCACCCCAAAATCAAGACCTTCCAACTCTCCTCCCCACATCAAACCAAACCGACCGAGCTGCAGCCTCGAAGGATCCAAGCCAGGGGCGGAGAGCAGAGTCTGGGGAGACGTGAAAGCAAGTGCCATTCTCAGGAGATGAAAGACCATGCAGGGCTGAACCCGGGAGCCAGAGGTTGAGCAGAGAGCTGAGAGACCCGGCTAAGTGGGAAGAGAGGCAGGCGAGAAGGTTCAACTTCTCACATCTCGCCTTCTCTGGAATCCAAGCTTCCTGGATCCTCCTATCTTCCTCTCCCTCTGCTGACTTCTCTGTTTCTGTATACATGCCTTGCCCACATGCATACATAACAGGTGCACATACCATTAGACCTTTTCCATCACAGCCCAGGATAGAATCCACAATAGAGCTTAGAGAAGGAAAGCCAGACTGATTGGTGACTGACCCCATGGCTACTATCCAGCCATCTAAATGGGCTGACCATTCTCCCAGACTAACAGACTTGTCCGAGTGCCACTATTTGCCTGATGATCATGGCCTAAAGCCCACTAGCTCCATAATCTCCCAGGTGTCTGCAAGACCCTTCCACTTTCCCTGAGTTTGAGACCTTGTTTTCCTGTGCTCAGGGAAGGACGGCCTTGCTTTTGTCATTCAAAGACAGTCTTGTCATCCAAGGTCCCCCTGAACCTGTTTCCTCTGTCTTAGGTGGGCCAAACGGGGCCACATCATCAAGGAGGCGTCTGGGGAGGTGTACAGAACCACTGTGGACTACACGTACTTCTCTGAGCCTGTGTCCTGCGAGGTCACCAATGCCCTGGGGAGCACCAACCTCAGCCGCACGGTTGACGTCTACTGTGAGTGCAGAGATTTGGGGGCTTCTAAGTGAGCAGGCCTGGGGTGGGCTGAGAACACTGGAGCTGGATTTATTGTACACAACATAATCATCACATCGCACAAGTGTGCAATGCCTTTTTTCAAACACTTCTTAGCACAGGTTACTGGGTTGTTTTGTTTTGTCTTTTTTTTTGGCCGTTCGTGGGGCTTGAACTCAGGGTTTGGGTGCTGAGCTTTTTCACTCAAGACTAGCACCTCTACCACTTTGAGCCACAGCACCACTTCTGGTTTTCTGGTGGTTAATTGGGGATAAGAGTCTCGTGGACTTTCCAGCCTGGGCTGGCTTTGAACTATCATCTCCAGATCTCAGCCACCTGAGTAGCGAGGATTATAGGCATGTGCCACCAGCTCCTGACCAACAGGTTTATTTTATTTTTTTGGGTCCGGTCGTGGGGCCTGAACTCTGGGCCTGGACGCTGTCCCTCAGCTCTTCACTCAAGGCTAGTGCTCTACCACCTGAGCCACAGCGCCACTTCCGGCTTTTTTTCATTTTTGCTTATGTGGTGCTGAGGAATCAAACCCAGAGCCTCAGGCATGCAAGGCAAGTGCTTTACCACTGAGCCACCTTCCCAGCCCCCGTCCAACAGGTTTATTTTGATCTTCAGAATGAACCTGGGTTCAGCTCAGCCTTCTCTAACAAATTACAGACTGAGTAGCTTCACCACTAGAAATCAGAGAGCCAGGGCTGCTGTTTCTGGTGAGGACTTCCTGGTGTGTGGAAAGCTGTTTTCTCTCAGGGTCCTCGGGTACAGAGAAAGGAAGAAGTGAGCACTAATCATCACCTTAGGAAGGCTCCATCCTGGTGACCTACTCACCTCCCAAAGGCCCCACCTCCTCATTTTAACCACCTCTTGGTGAGTTTCCAGCATAGGAATTTGAAGGGGGTAGAGGGGACATCAACATACAGCCCATAATAAGTGGATACGGTTATTCTCGTTATTTAGATGAGGAGATGGAGACCCAAGGCTCAACAGTGAGTGGCAATATGCAAACCAAAGCCAGGCATGAGTGGCTTCATCACCTGCCACACTGTTCCATGGCCAGCCTCACTTCCTCACTCCACCTGGCAGGAACCCACAAACAGATTGGCCCCTAGTTAAGGACTAGCTGGCTGAATGGGCTCAAAAACAAAAACGGGCTGGGAATGTGGCTTAGTGGTAGAGTGCTTGCCTAGCATGCATGAAGTCCTGGGTTTGATTCTTTAGTACACAGACAAAGTCAGAAGTGGCTCTTTAGCTCAAGGGGTAGAGTGCTAGCCTTGAGCAAAAGAAGCTCAGGGACAGTGCCCAAACCCTGAGTTCAAGCCCCAGGACTGGCAAAAAAAAAAAAGGAAGGAAGGGAGGGAGGGAGGGAGGGAGGGAGGGAGACCGACAGACAGACAGACAGAGACAGAAAAGAAACTGGGATAGGTTCAAAAAGTAATTATCTCACACAGAGCCCTCATCCCACCTCAGTCCCCAAACCCCCAGCAAAGGATGCTGTGGCTCTTCTTCCACATCAAGGAATGAAAACCCAAATCTCCTGACCTTAGATTCAGGGCTCCATGCGCTGCCTGGCCAGCTGTGAGCAATCCTGGCCTCTCTGTGAACCATGGCTTGGTCACAGAGCAAAACTTTCACGATGCTCTTCCACACCTAGCAGAGCTATGGGAAGGGAGGCAAGTGGTGGCCTACTTCAGTGGGGCTGCGGCGGAGACGGGAGGGACTGGAACTGGGAACCTGGGGGGAGAAACACACAGATTGTCATGGTCCTGCCTCCTGCATTGGTAATGTCAGAGCCCGCTGTGGGGGTACCCGGGAGCTGGACCAGCCAGTGCCAAGCTGTGGTCCCAAGGTGCAAGATTCTGTTGTCCCTGTTCCCATACTAGATGGGGGCTTCCTCAACTTTCTGAAGCCAGATGGGTCTGGGACAGAGGAAAAGGGATAGATCAAAGGTAAATCCAGTTGGAAATTCCATCCCAGTGCCTTTCTGCTGGGAAAACTCCTCTATGAATCAACAAGAGTTTGGTGGAGGCACATCTCCCCACTTGCTTCTCTAGATCACTCCCAGACCCCAGGCCTGGCCAGGCCAAATGTAAGGAAATGGATTGCAGTGGGCTGAGATGCTTTCCCCCTGCTCCATGGAAGTAGAGGGAGAGGCGCAGCAGCCAGTGGGTCCCCAGCATCTCCTCCTTCCTTCTCATCACAGTCGGCCCTCGCATGACCACGGAGCCCCAGTCTCTGCTCGTGGATCTGGGCTCTGATGCCGTCTTCAGCTGTGCCTGGATTGGCAACCCGTCCCTGACCATCGTGTGGATGAAGCGGGGATCCGGTGTGGTGAGTCCAAGGCTCAGACTCAGGCGGGGTCCTGGTGGCGAGGGGGGGAGTGGTCATTCAAAGGGAAAAGGACCCCAGAAAGAGGAAAGAAAATTCAGGCACCACCTGTACGCATCTCACCCGAGCACACTGGGCCTTTGCAATTTTGTCCTAGTAAGAACCTTGTAAGAAAAGCAAATGACCAACATTATAGGATGAGAGGAAATCTCTAGAAGGCTTTTCTTCTTTTTCCTTTATCTTCCTCCTTCCTTTTTTTTTTTTTATTGGTCATGGGGCTTGAACTCTGGGCCTGGGCACTGTCCCTCAGCTCTTCAGCTCAAGGCTAGCGCTCTACCACTTGAGCCACAGCGCCACTTCTGGTTTTTTCTGCTTATGTGGTGTTGAGGAATTGAACCCAGGGCCTCATCCATGCAAGGCAAACACTCTACCACTGAGCCACCTTCCCACTCCTTCCTTCCTTTTTTACTTTCTTTTTTTCTTCCCTTCCCCTTTCTTCCTTCCTCCCTCCCTCCCTCCGTCCCTCCTTCCCTCCTTCCTTTTTTCTTCCTTCCTCTCTCCCTCCTTCCCTCTCTCCCTTCCTTCCTTCCTTACATCCATCCTTTCTTCCTTCTTTCCTTCTTTCTAGTTACTAGGGTACTAGGGCTTGAACTTGGTGCTTAGTTTTTTCACTCAACCTTGGTGCTCTGTCACTTGAGCCATACCTTCACTTCTGACTTTTTGCTGGTTAATTGCAGATAAGTATAGTGGACGTTCCTGCCTGGGATCTCTTCACACCACAATCCTGAGATCTCAGCCTCCTGAGATAACAGGCATCCAGTCTACAAAGATTTTTCAACTTGTCCCAAATAAAGTGACTCTTAGCCTTAACAGGGAGAGTGATTTCAAAGCTATGCTTTTTTCTTGTGGTGTTTTGGGGTGTGCATGCGTGCGTGTGCGTGTGTTTGTATGCGTGTGTATGTGTGTGTGTGTGTGTGTGTCTTACTGGGTAATACTGGCTTTTGAACTCAGAGCCTCATGCTTTCTAAGCAGGTACTCTGTCACTTGATCCATGCCCCTCCCTTTGGTTGGTAGTGTTTTTGTTCTTGAATTTGGGGTAGCCTTATTTTTCTAGATAAGGCCTGGAGATTTTGCCCAAGGATGGCTTCGGACTGTGATCCTCCTACTTCTGTATCCTACGTAGCTAGAATGACAAGTGTTCACTACTTCACCTGACTAGTTAGTTGAGATAGGAGTCTTGTTTTCTTTTCATGTAGACTGGCCTCCACCTGCCATCCTCTTGATCTCCACCTGCTGAGTAGCTGGAATTACAGGCGTGAACCACCACACCTGATCCCTGTGTTCCTCTTATAAAATGTTCATATTCTTTTAGCGTACATGCGGGGGAGGGGGTTTTGTCCCTGGGAAAACTTAGCCTCTCTCAGTAACTGGCCAAAGCCACATGGTAGTCACTGCTGGAGTCAGGACTAGCCAGTGCCCAATTCTTTCTTATCATCACCTCAAGCTGACTCACAAAAGGATGCTGGAGATGACTCTGAAAACAGATCCAAGAGTTCTCCAAATTCAGGTTCAGGATAATTTTCCTCTTGGGCAGCCTGGGAGAGGAGAAGCCATGGAAGGCGGGGGGGGGGGGGAGTCAGTATCCCACCCCTCTCCCCAGCAGAGGGCCCCACGCCCCATATAATCTATGCACCATCCCATAGGCTGCACCTGGAGGGGGGCTGGCTTTGTTCAGATGGGGTCTCCTCTCCACTCAGCCTCTCCCCTCCCTCCTCGTTATTAGGAGAGGTGCTGAGCACCACAGACCTGCCCCTTGCCCTTTGCGTCTGACCCTCCCTAATTCTCCTAGGTCCTGAGCAATGAAAAGACCCTGACTCTCAAATCTGTCCGCCAAGAGGATGCTGGGAAGTACGTATGCCGAGCTGTGGTGCCCCGGGTAGGGGCCGGGGAGCGAGAGGTCACCCTGACCGTCAATGGTAAGACCCCCATACACCCTGGGATAGGCAGGGTGGGAGATGGGGACATTACCCCCAAAGGGATCATGTCACTGGCTCGGGGCCTTGCTACCACTATTAGCAATAAGTCCTCCTCAGTACCAAAGCAGGAGAAGAAGAGACCGGGTTTTCTGGGAACTTTCTTCTATTTTCTTCCCTTTCAAGAGATCTCAGGGGCAGTAAACTGCTGAGGGGGTCGGAGGTCAGAGGGTGACCCTATGTCCTGTCTGGCTGATGCACTGGCCCTGACTGTGGTGAGGGAAAATGTAAGGGTGCATCTCCCTCTGCCCATGAACAGCCCCTCTCTGTAACGTCAGAGCTACTTCCTGGGGAGAGCTGTCACCATGCCCAGAAACCAGGGTTCCCTTGAGGGCCAAGAACACATCTTTCCAGGAGGGTGGGTGTGTTCTTGGAAGGATGGGGTGCCTGTTTCAGGAGATGGGCTAGAGGGGCATCACCCAGGCCTCATGATGCAGGTGGCCACAGAGAAGCTGCCACTAGCTCAGGTCGACCCCAACAAGACCCTGGCAATACGATCCGTGACGTATGCTTTCCCAGAAAGTCAGAAAACAGGGTGTTTACATGAGACAATGCCATGTTCCCTGGCCATCTCTACAGGGCTGCCCCCCCCCAGACACACAAGCACTTCTGTCATACCCACAGGCCTCTGGGAGCTCTCTGAACCCACTATAGTAACCTCAGCCCATAGCCAATAGGATTTCAGGGGTTCTGATCCCAGAGCAGCACCCCCGATAAGGGCCCTGGCTGAGTTCTGGAAATTCCCACCAGCAGCTGCACCTCAACCCAGCGAGCTGCTACTGCCCCAGCCTCATCCTCTCCCTTGTTGGACTCGAAAACTCAGCCCTAGCTTGCAGCCCTCCCCAAGTAGCCCCTCAGATGTCCCCCTGATTTCCTGTCCTCCCCCTCATCGCCCCAGAGGGAGGAGAAGGAGACACCAGAGTCTTCACGAGATCACCTGTAGGGGCGGATCCCTGGCTCCAGAGCCCTCCTGCCTTTCCCCTTTCCCGTGTGTCCCCAGGACGCCACCAATAAATTGGTACTGCAGGGCTAAAAATAACAGCATCCAATCGCGCCTCTCTATATCCATGGTAACAGGCTGTAGCCTTTTTCTGCCTAGATGCCAGTGTCTGACACTCGGCTCAGCGCGCCACGCCACAGTGAAATCAGCCGCCTTCCCACTGGCCCGGCTGGAGAGGGTGCTGGGGAGTAGCCATCCGGGCCGACTGCTCTCCACACCTGCTGTACACCCCCTTCTGTGGGCCCGGACCCTTAAACTCACGAGTCTCCTCCAAGGTCCCCAAGCCTGAAGCCATTAAGTGAGAATCCTCCTTTCTAAAGAAAGGGGTAGATAAGGAAAGGCTGACATTTTGCTGTCCCTTTTAGGCATTTCCCAAGAGAGATTTCTAGAGGAGAGGGAACCCCCACACACATCCTGCTCTGCCCCCGCAGGGCATGCATGCCTTGAAGAGACATTTCTCTTGGACCTAGCTCAACAGCCTGAGCTGAAGCATCTGCCCAGGACTAAACTGAGCCTCCTTCCTTCCTTCCTTCCTTCCTTCCTTCCTTCCTTCCTTCCTTCCTTCCTTCCTTCCTTCTTTCCTTCCCCCCCTCTCTTCCTCCCTCTCTTCTTTCCTTCTCTCTTTCTTTGTTTGGAGGATTACTGGGTTTTGAACTTAGGGCCTCACACTTGCAAAGCAGGTACTCTACCCCCTGAACCACACCTCAAGCCCTTTTCTACTTCAGTTTTTGTTTTGTTTTGTTGGATAGAGTTTTTTCCCCAGGGTAGCATCAAGTCAAGATCCTGCCACCTACACCTCCTGTATAGCTGGAATTACAGATGTGAACCACCACACTCAGCTTGTTGGTTGAAAAAGAGATCTGGCTAGCTTGTTGTCTGGACTGGCCTTCAACTTCAGCCCTCCAGATGTTGAGATTTACAGCTGTGAGCCACTGTGCCAAGCCTCATCTTTTATCTCCTTTGCCTGTTACTTCCCCTCATTGTCCAGCGGAGAAAAGCTGAAAGGATTGGTGTGCAGGGAGGCTTGGGAGGGGGTCGATGAAGCAATCCAGGGAGCTGTCCGTGCCCACCCAGAGAGAACGTCTGGAGGGGTGGCCAGGCCCAAGGACAGAGGCCTGGGTGTCCAGTGAATCCCTCCCATTCTCTTTAGGTTCCAATGGGCACCGTGGTAACTGAGCTGGCTCACACCAGGGAATCTGATAAGGGGAATATGAAAGACCTCACTGGTTGATTGACTTCTCTAAGCCCATTTGCCTTTGCCTGGCCTTTTGTTTCCTTTTTTAAAAAAACTCATAAATGCATATGTGTTTGCTGATGGATTTTAGAATCCTATAAACCCATGGATAGAGTTCCTCCGTCCTAGTGAGAGAAAGTACAAGACTTTATAGAGAATGATCACTTTTTGGTAGCAAAATCAAACAGGGAATCCTCAGAGCTCGGAGGCAAAGGCTGCTTGGAGCAGAGGGATTGATTTAAGCTACAGAGGCTGAAATCAGCCCTTTCTTTCTTTCCTTATTTATTTATTTATTTTTGGTCAGTCATGGGGCTTGAACTCAGAGCCTGAGCACTCTCCCTGAGCTTTTTCACTTAAGGCTAACCCTCCACCACTTTGAGCCACAGTGCCAATTCCAGTTTTGTGGTGGTTTCTCTTGGAGATAAAAGTCTCACGGACTTTCTTGCCCAGGCTGGCTTCAAATGGCTATCCTTGTTCTCAGCCTCCTGAGTAGCTAGGATTACAGACGGGAGCCACCTGTGCCCAGCATTCGGCTCATTCTTTTTTCTTTTTTTCCCAGTCCTGGGGCTTGAACTCAGGGCCTGGGCACTATCCCTGAGCTTCTTTTGCTCAAGGCTAGCACGCTAGCACTTTATGTGGTACTGAGGAATTGAACCTAGGACTTCATGCATACTAGAGTGCTTACTCTACCACTAAGTCACATTTCTAGCCCTCAGCTCATTCTTAAAGCCACTTGTGGGTGGTACCTTTATGTGGAAGAGATACCCCTCAATCCCACTCCCTGCCCTGCTCCCACCCCACTTCCCCCAGCCCTGAGCCAGCCCTTCACATTCTCAACTTGAATTGGGAATGACATCTAAGTGTTTTCCAATACCTTTTTTCCCCTTGGCTGAAACCTACTCATAGAAATGCAAATCTGTTTTAATTAAGGTGGCTAATAAACAGCAATTATGTTTGCAGCAATTTTTCCTTTGTTCCCAGCATAAATTTACCACCCTCCACCCCCTGAAGAACTGTGGCACTTAACTGTCTTTCTTCCTGTTCTGCCAACCAAGTCCCAGCTACCACCCAGGAACTGGGTACTGAGCACCAGAGTCTCTATCTCTCTTAGCGCCCATTCCAGCCAGGAAGTCAGTTGAACAACTTTACTTTTTGCTAGTTGTTACCTTTATTAGTTATTACCTTGCACTGTTAGGTGTGCATCGCACAGGGAAGACTCAGGTCAGACCACAGGCAGAACTAGCCAGGAAGAGCAATGGAACAAGCCAGGTGGACAATGTTGGAGCTTTGGTCTCACCTGGGCAGTCTAGGTTTGTTTGTGGAGGGTGACAAGATAATGAACTATAGGATCTGAGTCCTAGGAATATGTCTGTGTGCACACCTACCCTTGGTGGAGGAAGAGAACCGTTTTTCCTCCCCCCTCCCTCCCTGGCTTGGTGAAGGGTTCCCAATTTGTTAGGCAAGTGTGCCCTCTACTGGAGAACTGAGAAATGGCTGGAAGTCTTCCCAGCTGGGTCTAAGTGGAGGTGACATTCTTTTTGTGTCTTCCTTTGCCCTGGCACCTGCCCCCACTCCCATACCAGGCTCACGGCCTCCTTCTGAGAGCGTTCCCCATTCACCAGACAGAATTATTCTCTCTCCTTCGAAGTCAGTTAGCACTTTATCTACATGACTCCCGTGGTAGACTCACGCTTGGCACCTTTTATTACAGTTATTTATGTCTTCTGGGGATTCTGACTTCACAGCATTCACTCATGATCCCTCGAGAGGTTTGGGATTGAATGCCTAATTTATCTTCAAGACCTCTACCTTGTAGATTCGAGGCCTTCGGTAAATATTTGCCAAAAGAGTGGGTTCATGAATACACTTCTGAACCCCTCAAAGAGGGGGGTCCAGCTGAGGCCCTGCCCCTTCTTGGATCTGTAATGTGATGTTGTCTCCCCTCCTCTCCCCCCTCCCTCCCCACCCCCCTACCCCACCACAGGGCCTCCCATCATCTCCAGCACACAGACCCAGCACGCCCTCCATGGCGAGAAAGGCCAAATCAAGTGCTTCATCCGGAGTACCCCACCGCCTGACCGCATTGTAAGTGCTTCTCAAGACCCCACCCCACCAGCCAGGGGTCACCTCTGCCCATAGCCAGGCAGCCAGACGTCAGCACATCCTTCCCACCCTCCTTTCCCTCCACGGGGAAAATTACACCCTGCCTGTCTCTCACAAACGCATCCTGAAGTCTAAACAAGACAGCCTCCTTCCTCGGAAGAGGCAAGCTCCAGGGAGCCAGCCAGCTGAGCACGGCAGCCATGAGAAGTTCTAACCTAATTCTGCATCCTGGGGCGGTAGGGAAAGGGAGGGTAGCAGAGGAAGGAGGGGGGAAAATCCCTTTCCTTTCCTGGTTCAAGGCCAGGGTAAGGAAACTGACACGAGTGGAATTTAGGACTGGTACCCCTTTCTGCACCTCCCGCAGGTCTCTTTTGGGATCTCTTCTGCACATCTTTGCTTGAACATTCCCTTTGAGACATCCAGGCCATTCTGCTTTCCTTTCTCCAGAGCAGCCAAGACACCCTGATCATTCACCCACACCTCCTCTGACCCCTCAAATGTTTGGGGTTCTTTTTTCTTTTAGTAGTTCTGAACATGCAAGTCAGGAACTCTACCACTTGAACCCTTTTTGTTTTCCGTTGGGCTTTGTTTTTAGATAAAGCCACATACCTTTGCACATAGTGAGATCCTCCCACGTCTGCTGGGATTACAGGTGTACGCTACCACTCTTGGCTTGTTGTTTTGTTTTGTTTTCTGAGATAAGATCTTCATTGACTTTCTAGTTTGGCTGGCTTTGGACTTTCATCCACTTCTCTCCACCTCCTGCATAACTGGGATTGTGGGTGTGAGTCACCATACCCCAGCCATGTTCACATTCTTTGTTTTATGGTGCTATGGTTTGAATTCAGGGCCTTGCTCTTGCTAGGCAAGCACTTTACCACATGAGCCACACCTCCAGCCTTTTTATTGCTTTAGTTATTTTTTACATCGTCTCTAGACCTTGATCCTCCTATTTATAGCCTCCTGAGTAGCTCAAACTCACTGTGATTGCTACCATACCTGGCTTATTGGTTGAGATGAAGGGGGATTTCACTAATTTTTTTATTCTTGAACCTCTATCCTCTCAATCTCTGCCTTTTGAGTAGCTGGGAATATAGATGTGAACCATCACATTCTGCCAGTGTTCATGTTTTTATAAAGGAAGATCAGCTGGGCACTGGTAGTGGTTCACACCTGTTATCCTAGCTGGTAGCTAGGAGGCTGAGATCTCAGGAGGCTGAGATCTGAGGATCATGGTTCAAAGCCAGCCTGGGCAGAAAAGTCCATGAGAGTGCTAGCCCTGAGCAGAAAAGCTCACGGATATCACTCAGGCCCTGAGTTCAAGCCCCAGGAACACACACATACACACACACACACACACACACACACACACACAGGACCTTACATCCTAAAATATCTGAACTGGCAAAAACTCAGGCATGAAAACAAAGAAAAGGTAACATTTGGTAGCATTATTGCGGGAAAGATGCTACTTAAGTTAGCCCTGCTAACAAGACTTGCCAGGCACCAGCGCTACAGGAGAGCAGCTTGGGGAAAGCAGGGCGTGGCCACGTGAGCCCAAGACCCCAAGCTGTTCAGACAGAAACCAATCTGTTGGTAAACTCAGTGCTTAGAATATTACCGCTGTTTACACAATATTATATGCATTTTCTCAGGCATCCGGTTCATTCACCCTCTGAAAGATCCACAGAAACATTGTAAGAGTTCACACGTGTAACTAATACCTACGCCTCTCCACTCAGTTTGCTCTTTGCTTCTTTAAAAAAAAAACCCACACACAAATATAACACACATCCATTGGAAAATATTCCATTCAGCTTTTTTTTCTTCTTCTTCTTTGAAGCTTGAACTCAGGGCTTGGAGGCTGTTCCTTCGCTTTTTATTTTATTTTTTTTTTCTATTCAAGACTGGTACTGTGCCACTTGAGCCACGGGTCTACTTCTGGGGTTTTAGGGGTTAACTGGATATAAGAGTCGCTTGGACTTTCTGCCCTGGCTAGCTTCAAACTTTGATCTCCATATCTCAGCCACCTACATAGTTAGAATTACAGGCCTGAGCCACTGGCCCTCAGCTCACGGAGTCCTTGAAAGAGCCTTACATCATCTTTCTCTTTGTAGATGTCCATGTCTAGCTACTGAGTCTCAAGGGGAGCCCTTTTGTCCCTGGGGAGCAATGAGCAGAATCTGGTGATGCTAGACATATCGTTAGTGGAATGAGAAACACTGTGATCACCTGCAGCACCCCCCTGGGGCACCCTACAGCCAGGCTGGGGCACATGACAAGTCCCCCTCTTGTTTATGCCTCTGGGCCTGGCATCGTTCCCATGGGCATGGAGCAAAGGTATGCCCAGGGCAGCAGACACGACACGTTTGCAAAACAACCCTGTGCGAAAGTCGCTGTCACCCCTGTAAATGAAGATAGATGATGATGGCCGTACACCCACCTCTCCACAAACACACTCTTGTAAAAACCGGGGCCGTGGCTGGGGACGTCACCCGGGAGCACGTGGGAAGGGGCTGGGTGGCCAGGGGAGGGCTGGGATGTGATTGTCAGAGCCCCCTCCTTTCTCTGTGCAGACCCCCGCGTGGGTCCCCACTGCGAGGTGACCCTCCTAGGTGGCCCCACCCTGCGTGTGCCCCTGAGACACGGCCTTGGGCGTTGTACGCATGTGTTGTGGGTGGGCACGTATGTGTGCGTGCGTCTGTGGGGTATGTGTGCCTCTGTCTGTGTGTACATGTGTGCACTGTTGGTGTGTAGAGTGTGTATGACTGTTGCGTGTGTTGTGTTTTATGTATATTGGGGTGTGTGTGTGTGATATACACCATACTTCACAGAGTGTGTGAGTGTGTGTGTGTGCCGCTCTGTGGGGACATGTTGAATGCATTTGTGTTCATATGCAGGTCTGTAGTGTGTGTATATATAGTATGATATGTGTTTTATCCATCTACAGTGTACTGCAGATATGTATCCTGTGGTATGCATTTTGTGACATGGTATGCTTGTGCCAGGGAACACATGTGTGTGATATACATGCATGTCGTCATGTGTGCTTACATGTGAGGAAGCGTGTGGTATGTACATGTATGAGTTGAGTCATGTGTGTTTATTTGTATTTGCAGTATTCATGTATGTGTTCTCTCATGTACACATGTTTGGGTGTTGTGATAGTCATGTGTGTTATGTGGTATGGTTCATGTTTACATGTACCATGTATATCTGTGTGGATTATATGTACATGTAAGACGTGTGCTTATTTTGTCATGTGTGTGTTCTGCATATACTTGGTGTGTATAGTGGTTATGTATGTGCATGTGTGGGTCATGTTTGTAGTATGTATGGCACGTGCCATGACATGCATACATGTGTATTTATGTGGGTTGTTTTCACACGTTCAGTGCATGTGTTGTTGTATTTGATGCCATGTGTGCTCTGTGTGTGTGTGTGTGTGTGTGTGAATGTGTGTGTGTGCAGGTGCCCCTGTGCACCTGCTGGTTGCAGTGGCAGTGAACTTGAATGTGAGCCTGGCCTTGCGGGTGTCCGGGACCCAGCGCTGCTGGTGCAGGTGGCCTTGGTGAGGGTCCCCCCCTCACCCTGCCCACCCCCTGCTGGCAGGCCTGGTCCTGGAAGGAGAACGTGCTGGAGTCTGGGACCTCAGGGCGCTACACGGTGGAAACAGTGAGCACCGAGGAGGGAGTCATCTCCACCCTGACCATCAGCAACATCGTGCGGGCTGACTTCCAGACCATCTACAACTGCACAGCCTGGAACAGCTTCGGCTCCGACACCGAGATCATCCGGCTCAAGGAGCAAGGTGAGGGCCGCCGGCCAAGGAGGGCACCCGCAGGGTGAGGCCGGGTCCAAGAAGGGTGTTAGCGCCACGCAGCCTCGGTCTGGCTCCCTCTAGGTGAGGCGTACTGGCCTCCACCATGGAGCAAAAAGGGAACACACCTGCTCAGCGGGTAGCTCAGAGGGTCTCAGGAAGGGTGACTCATACTGAGCTGGGCAGCTGGCTAGGACAAGCCACCACAGCTTCTGAGGGTCGTGGCTTCATGCCCCCTTGCCCTTTTCTGGGCCTGAGAGCCCCTAGACAGTGCCATGGCTGGGTATAGCACAGGGATACCCTGGCCTGGCCGACAGGCCAGTCCATTCACCCACAAGTCCCATGGTGCAAACTAAGTCAAAACTAAGTGGCAGCATTTTGCTGTCCTGGTGATTCCTGGCATAGGGGGCTGGGCTCAGATCATCCCCAGTGCCCTTGGAGACATGTGGACCCTAAGCTATAAAGGAGATACCAGCCAAAAGGGCAGCACTGGGCAGAAAGAGCACTGAGCAGCTTAGAACTCCAGTCTCAAGCTGGGCATAGTAGTACATGCCTATAGTCTCAGCTACTGGAGAGGCTGAGATAGAAAGACCACTTGAGTTCACAAGTTCAAGACCAGCCTAGGTAAAACCTACCTCAAAAAGACAGAACAGCTGGGTGCTGGTGGCTCGTGCTTGTAATCCTGTGATCTGGAGGCTGAAATCTGAGGATTGCAGTTTGAAGCCAGCCTGGGCAGGAAAGTCCATGTGACTCTTGTCTCCAAGAAGCTACTCAGAAGAAGCCAGAAGTGGCCCTGTGGATCAAGTAGTCGAGCACTAGCCTTGAGCAAAAGAAGCTCAGGGACAGCATTCAGGCCCTGAGTTCAAATCTCAGGACCAGCATTAAAAACAAGAACAAGAACCCTAGTCTCTGCTCAGCGCTCTCAGGCACAGGGGAGACCCCTCCAAGGGGTGAGGACAGGTTCCAGAATTGGATCCTCAAACACCTGCAGACCTAACTGGAGGTCCAGGGATGGCTCTCAGCCAGGCTTTGGGCCTCTGCTTCAGACACTTGGGGCCAACTTGGGGCAGATGGTCCCACCTGCTCAGTGATTACACCTGGGATTATCAAACCTCTCAAGCCTCCTAACACCCCTTCCCCAATAGGTGCTGCTTTGCATAACGCTTTGTGCATAACTTGCATAATATCATCCACACCTCATCCAAACCCTCCTGGATCCCCTGTTGCCTCCCCTCCTTGTCTTCCTTCGGTGCCCCCCCACCCCTGTGCCCCTACCCTTGGTGTGCTCACCCACCCCCTGAAACCCTCTGGGGCTTCCCTTCTCTCTCTCCCCCTCCTCTCCCCCCCCTCTGGAATCTCCAAGTCAGTTGGGGTGAGCCTGGATCTGTAGGGGTGGTCCCAGAGACATGAAGGAGGAGGGAGCCCCCCTCATTCCAGTCCCTCCAGGTGGCCGATCCCCCTGTCCCACCCCACCCTGGCCAGCCAGGCCCTGGCTGTAGACGCTTGCTTTATTTCCAAACAGGTTCGGAAATGAAGTCGGGAGCCGGGCTGGAAGCAGGTATGGAAGGAGACAAAGAGATCTGCCCCGGGGAAGGTGGGAGGGAGTCTTGGCTAGTGGGGGCGGGGACCCACGACGGGGCAGGGAGGTTGCTAATGACTCGTTCCTCCCCCTCACTGAGGACTTAGTGCAGTCAAAGCTGTGGGTCCTGGGAACCACACACACACACACACACACACACACACACACACACACACACACACACACACACACACACCTGTTTCCTGCCCAGGACCCTGCTCTTACTCCTCCATGTCCTTGTTGAGTATCTTCAGAAGCCCAAGCTCCTGAGCCCACCCTGGTGTCCCCCTGCATTCTTCTGTGCTCCATCCCCAGCTCCACCATGGCTCCCCAGCATGCCAGCTCCCTGACCCCTGCTGAGGCCTGCTCCACCCGTGCTTGCTGGCTCACGACCTCCTCCCTCCCCCCCCCCCCCCCCGTGTCCCCTGTGAAGCATCATCTCACCTCCAGCCTGAGTCTATTGGGTATTCCCTCACCCCAATCCCAGGCACCCACACCAACAGTGTGGTCATCGGTGCTGACCCTGGGCTTGGGTTACTCTGTCAGTTACCCTGGACAATCGGTTGTCCCGCCCCCAATCCCCAAGCAGAAAACCGGAAGAGAGAAGCAGGACAGCAAATCAGACTCCTCAGGGTGATGAAGGCTACACTAAGAACTTGGGGGCACTTCTGTCCTAATTCTCTTTCTCCTGCTAGCCCTGGTCCATGTCATACTCTTCAATGAGTCCTCTTCCCTCCTTCCCAGATTAGTGCAGGCAGCCCACTGAACCCAGCCTCCTCTGGGTTCCTCAGGGGAGGGGTGGTGACTCCTTCCGGTCACACACCTCACAGCATCCTTTGTTGCCGGCAGTGATACCTCACTTCCTCCCACACCACTGCCCACCACGTGGTGGACTACCCTCCAGCCAAGATGGCTCCTCAGAGAAATGCAGACTCCCAGACAGCAGCTGCTGCTGCCCAGTTCAGGGGTACAGATGACATGTCCCTTTGAGGAACCATCATGTCTTGGCAATTGAAATAAGCCCCTAGTTATTTCCTGGGAAACTCGCTAGGAATCTAAGGAGAAACTAGATGCAACTCATAGTAAAGAAGTTCGCCCCACAGAACCACCTCCGTTATCCTTTCCTAATGGAACAAAAGCAGGAACATCTCTTTTTCAAAGCCAGTTCAGCCATGACTACCGAGACCAACCCAAACATCTCCCATCTCCATCCTTCAGTGCTCATTTGCCATGTCTACCCCCTCCTGGTCACCTCCTCCTGTCCCCTCTGCGGTGGTCTCCACCACCAATAGGTAGGTAACAAGTGAGTTAGTATGCAAGTCCTAGCGTGTGGAAGAAATGGAGCCCTGTAACCCCACGCTGCTGTGAGCTAGGTGCCAGCTCTGTGTGGTAGGTGTCCCTACCTCTGCCCCACTGCCTCCTCCCAGAAGCATTTGCATGCTCAGGGTTTCAGGGTTTCTTTCAAGAAGCCTTTCTAGAAAACAACATGGGTATGGTGATGGTAGAGTGTTTGCTTGACATTCATTCATGAGGCCTTGGGTTTCATGCCCTGAAACGAAAGAAGGGAATGAAAGAAGGGAGGGAAGGAGGAAAGGAGGGAGGGAGGAAGGGAAGAGAGGGAGGGAGGCAGGGAGAGAGGGAGGGAGGGAGTGAGGAAGGAAGGAAGGAAGGAAGGAAAGATGGGAGGGAGGGAGGAAGGATGGGAGGGAGGGAAGAAAGGGAGTGAAGAAAGGGAGTGAGGGAGAGAAGAAGAGAGGAAAGAAGGGAAGGAGGGAAGAATCTTGGATGGGAGGGAAGAAAGAAAGAAAGGAGGGAGGGAGGGAAAGAAGGAGGAAGGGAGAAACAAGGGAGAGGATAAGGGAAGGGGATGGAGAGGAGGGGAAGGATAGGTTAACCCCAGCTCCAGAACAAATACCTACCTTTCCTACCCGTGAAGGTGAGTGGGAGGGAACTCAGTCTTTGAAAGAATTTCCTCACCTCTGAGATTTCAATCTCTTCCCACAAACACTTGAACAGAGCCAGGCTCTCCTTGGAAACTTCCACCCACATTCCTACATCTTAACCCCATAACAACTCTCTGCCCTCTGCACTGGCATTACCCCCATGTACAGATAAGAGAGCTAGAGTGAGTTCAGGGGAGAGTGGGAGAGTAATTCATAATGCAGTGGCCACAGATGGGGTGGGGTGAGGTGTAGTGATGAGAGGAGATTTTAGCAACTGCATATCAAGTCATTTGGCTTCTCTGGCCCTCACTCTCTCTGTAAAATGGGAAGCTTGGATCCAGTAGGTCCTAGGGTCACCATGTCCATTATTCTCTAGTTCTATTGCTGATGGACTCCTCAGGACCGAAAACTACCTATGCAGCCATAGAAGGACCAGCGCTGCTGGCTGAGCAACCCCTCCATCCTCACCCCCAGCCCCAGCCCTCCTCATCATGGGCAGAGACGCTGGAGAGACTGGGCAGGGACTGAGGACTGCCCTAGCCGGAGTTCTGGGCCTCTCAAGCTAGACAGGTGCAGTTGCTCAGGTGACTGGTCTAGAAGGAAGAATGGAATCAAGGTGTCAAGGGTTGTAGGCAATCTGTGGATCTGAGACTAAGACACCTGGAGGCTACAATTCTGACACTTGTCAAGTCCTAAGAGGGAGGTTTTCTTAGATTCCTAAGGGCTGATTGATTCTATCATCCTGTTTGCACCAAGAAAAAGGAAATGAAGGGACAAACTGGGCAAACAAGGACAGAACCATACTCATTTTTCCCCCAAGAAAAGCCAGGACCCGTAACACCAGCCACCCATGATAGCTTCCCTACTGAGTGCCAAAAGGCTAAATGACGCCAATCTCACTCTCATCTCCTGTGTTCCTCTCCCCTGACCTGTCTGTCCTCTGTGTCTGCTCCAGCCTCTGCCCCTTCCCTATTCCTCCCTGCCCTCCCCCTCTACCCTGTGGCTCCACCCTGGTCTGCATAGCCCCAGCCAGACCTGACTCTCTGCTGGACTCCGCCTCCGACTGCCCAGGCCCCACCCAAGCATTTCCCAAGAGGGGCCCATGTGGCACTGGTCTGGTCCCGGCTTGGTTACTGAGTGAGATCCTGGGGGGAACCAAAGACATCCCCCATCCCTCATCACCCATGTCTGTTTCTCTCCCAGAATCTGTGCCGATGGCCGTCATCATCGGTGTGGCCGTAGGAGCTGGTGTGGCCTTCCTGGTCCTCATGGCAACCATTGTGGCCTTCTGCTGTGCCCGTTCCCAGAGAAGTACGGGAGGGAGACCCGGGATCTCAGGGAGGGGGACAGAGAAAAAGGCCAGGCTTAGACTGCCCCGGCGAGCAAGTAAGCAGCAGTGCCATGAACAGGGGCCCTAACAGTGCTGTGAGCTCCTGGGGCAGGGATGGGTGTGTTAAGTGCGGCACCGTGGGTGTCCGGCACAAGTGGGAACTGGGCTGAGGCTGAACTGAACTAGAGTGACCCTCATCCAGTAGGGCACACAGCCAGCACTTGAGGTTGGGACCACAGTGAGACCCAAGGGGAAGGGAGGTGGTTTGGTGGGTCATCATTGTTCTGCGAGGGCCAATAGTTTACAATGCAGGTCACCCACACAGGGGCAAAAACCTATGCAAAGAATTATTCTGAACAGTCGTAGAGGTCTTTTAGTCATTCTAGTGTTTGTAAGCCCTTAAAGAATTGTGTGCATGCTGGGCTCAGCTCTTGAGTTACATGTGATGGACAGGAGGCAAAATAGATACATTAAGGAAGGCAAAGTCCTCTAGTCCCGCCTCCCTATACCACGTGACACTGGGCAAGCCACACCTACTCCAGACCTGGAGTTTTCTCTTCTGTAATAGTAAGGAGTTGGATGACTTGACTTTTCTGATACTATATGGCTCTTGACTCCTATGCGAGAAAAATACAAAGTGAGTCCCCAAGGGACATCGGCCTCCTCAACCCAGCTACCTTCGTGGATTAGAAAGAAGCCCAGGGTTCTCCTCACATTCCGTCCACTCCCATCTTGGCCCCATGATGACTTCTAACAAGGTGGTCTTGAAGACCTCCATGGCTACCCCAAGAATAAAACTTCCATCATGGGAGGATGGACAGGGAAACTGGACCCTTGCAGGCTGGCTTCTGCTGTAGGAGAGAGGGTAGCCATAGGACCTTTAAGGTCCTTTCTTACAAATTTGTGGTTCTATGAATGGAGAGCTCAGAGCCTGAGAACCCTTCCTAGAAGGAAGTGAGAAGAGGATCTAGTTCAGTAAAGTGGAAGAATGGATAGGATAGCCTCTCCAGCCCAAAGGGGGCGGGGTGGAGAGACACTGAGGTATAGGAGCAAGGAATCAGGCAGCCATGTGGCCAGTCTTCTCAACGCCACACAGCCCACAGCAAAGTCCACACAGGTGTTCAATGGATGGGGGTGCAGCTGGCAAAGCTGTTGGGTTCAGGAGTTGATGGGAGGGTAAATCCTGTAGGGTGGTGGGCTGAGGGGTGTCATGGGGGGGGGTGAGCAGGGAGCTGTGATATCTACGGATATAATGCCAGAGATGGAGGGCTGAATGTGTTGCCTGTGCTTTCCTGTTTTATGTCCAGATCTCAAAGGTGTTGTGTCAGCCAAAAATGATATCCGAGTGGAGATTGTGCACAAGGAGCCTACTTCTGGTCGGGAGACTGAAGAGCACCCCACCATCAAGCAGTTGATGGTAAGAATGCTGGTCAGGCTGCACCCCGTCTTGGGATGCTGTGTCTGGAAGGTCCTGGGGCCAGAGGCTTCTCATTGTCCTCCATAGCTCTCAGAAGGAATTTGTCAGTCAATATGAGCTTGCTCACAGACAAAGAACATGGATTTGAGTGCCAGCTGGATTGTGATGTGGGATTGGTATGATTGGTAAATCCAGGACCCAAAGATATCTAAGGAGCAGTTCCTGGCCTCAGAGAGAGCCTGGCCATTGAGTAGGGCAAGAATGTATGCTTAAATGGCCATATGTTGCTACACATACACATACACACACACATACACACTCACACACACAGATGGATATGGATATTCAGTACATTCCCACACATGCAACCATAAGAAGTGTAGGTTCTTCCTTGGGACCTGGATAGCCCACCAAAGTCAAACTCAAAAGTTCTCTAGCAGTGGTTCAGGCCATAATCCTAGCTGAGATCTGAGAATCTCCAGTAGAAGCCAGCCCAGGCAGACAAATAGAGACTGTTATTTCCAATGAATTAGCAAAAAGCCAGAAGTGGAGGTGTGGCTCCAGTGGTAGAGCACCAGCCTTGAGAACTTTTCCAGCAATACCATCTACCTCATCTCCTTTCACGGACCAAACCACTTCACTGTCTGGGTAGAAGCCTAAACAACTATGCCAGACTGTGGCTGGGATATGTTTGGATAGAGGTAGCAGAGCAAGGAATACAAACATGGACTTCTCTGAGCCTCAATGACTTCAGAAGAGAGGGGGTGATTCCAGAACTCCCTGATGGTACCTAAACTGAGGATGTCAAATCTCTGACATAAAAATGACATATTTGCATATAACCTATGCACATCTTCCTGAATACTGTAAATCACCTCTAGATTATTTATTAAGAAAAAGGTGCTCATACCTGTAATCCTAGCCACTCAAGAAGCTGAGATCTGAGAATCGTGATTCGAAGCCAGCCCGGGCAGACAAATCTGAGAGACTCTTGATCTCCAGTTAACCAGCACAAAAAAAAAGTACAGGTGTGGCTTAAGTGGCAGAGAGCCAGCCTTAAGCAAAAAAGCCAAGTGAGAACGAGAGGCCTTGAATTCAAACTCCAGAATTGGTGGATGCACGGTTGCATGTGCACACACACACACACACACACACAATGTAAGTGCTATGCAAATTACTGTTACACTGCATTTGTTATGGGAAAATGAGGAGGAAAAATAATCTATACATGTTCAGCGAAGATGCAGATTTCCCCCAAATATTTTCCATCCACTGCTGGTTGAATTCACAGATGTGGAACCAGAGAATCTGGAGGCCTGACTGTCAATGTTTAGCTGCTGGTGTTGCTCTAAAACCGCCCACTAGATGGTGAGCAATGGCTGTTCTACTCTTCCCCAACAGAGGTGCCAACGTTTACTGAATGGACTTTTCTACCACTCTCTCTCTAACCTATCGATTTTCAGGCCCTGTTGATTCCACTTAGAAAATATGTCCCAGGCTGGACAACAGTGGCTCATATCTGTAATCCTAGCTACAGGAGGCTAAGACCTGAGGGTCGCAGTTCAGAGCCAGCCAGGACAGGAAAGTCTGTCAGACACTTACATCCAATTAACCACCACAAAGCTGGAAGTGGAGCTGTGGCTCAACTGATAGCAAAAAAGCTGAAGGACAGCACTCAGACCTGAGTTCAAGTCCTAGTACTGACACACACACACACACACACACACACACACACACACGACATATATGTGCGCATGCGTGCACATACAGAGGCTCAGAAGTGTGTCCCACTTCCCCTCTACTGGTACCCCCTTAATTTGGGGCTCCTTCTTGCTTCCCTGTTATGGCAGCCCCTTTACCCTTCATCCCCAATGAGCCCTTGAACTCCTTCTCCTCGGGACCTCAGACACTATGCCTTCAGGAAAGAGCCGTGGTCACAGTATTTTATAAGAGCAGAGGGGAGGTTTGGCAGAAAGGTCTTGTTAGAGGCCCTTGTGGCCAGCTTCCATTGGGGGAGATTGCCATCCCCCTCCCCTAGATCCTTCCCTCTCTGAGCTTGGGAATGTCCCCATCATTAAGGGGCACAGGCTTAGAAGTTTTGTTTGGTGGGAAAGAAGAGCCCCAGTCCAGAAGGAGCCAAAACATTTGCTGGAAAATGAAAAAACAACTACTACTACTACAATATTATCAGTGAAGACGTAACTGGATGGAAACACTTTGGGTGACTTTGTGGAGCCCCAAAAGGAGACAAGAAAAGCAAATTGCCAGAGAGAAGAAACAGCCTGTTTAGAGAGTAGATGGGATCCTGGCCTAGACCAGGCCTTCAGCAGAAGTGACTCCTGGAAGGCATCTCAGGTCAGGGGTGAAGCCTCATCACGGTTATTCAGATTATTTCATACATCAACCGTGTGCTTAGTCCAGCTTGTTCTTTATCCTGTGCCTCCTTCTTGTTCTCACTGGTTTAGAGCTAAGCCTCTGCACACACTCATTCAACATTTGGAAATGCTCTGTTACATATCAGGCAACATGCTGGTCAGAGAGTGAATAGATTCCATTCCAGAAACATTTTGGTCCATGACCACAGTAGGCAAGGCCCTGGACCGCGTGGGGTGGGGACCCACAGAGAGCACCAATGTCCTCCCCTTGGCATCTGTTAAGGAAGACAATTTTCCCGTGCATCTGAGTCACAGCTGTGGACAATGGATATAACCCACTGTGTTAGTCACAAAGTACTGGAGAAAAATCAACTTGAAAAGAGACTCATTTTGGCTCAGGGCTTTGGAGGTTTCAATCCATAGTTACTTGGCCTTGTTGTCTTTGGACCTGTGGTGAGGCTGAACATCATGGCTGAAGCCCCAGGGCAGGGAAGGGAAGGCTGCTTACCTCATGGAGGACAGGAAGCAAAGGAAGAGAGGTAGGACTAAGGTCCCAGTGTTCTCTTCAAGGACACCCCACCCACCCCCACCCCCAGTCATGCAACTTCCTTCTAGCAGTCTGTATCTCCTAAAGTTTCACCATTCCTCAGTAGTGCCACAGGCTGGCAGCCAAGCCCTCAACACATGGAGCTTGCAGGAGGAGGGGGGGACGGGGAATGTCACTTCAGATCCAACACATCACATGTTCCTACTCCTTGTGATTCCTTCTGAAGCTCTTCATGAAGCCCTGGTCAAGCTTAGTGACCTACCCTAAAGAGCCTGGCCTATTCCTAGAAGTTAATGCTCTCTGATTATTTATCTCCAGTGCCATCTTTCTGATCTACAGAGCTGTATCTTAATCTCTGTATTTCTGGCCCTTAGCACCTGTGCTAGGCCAGGAATTTTTAATAAATACTCAATGAATCAAATGGAGTTGGCAAAATGAGCTCCCTGGAGATGGTGCTCTAGCTCAGCCAAAGAAAGCATGGCCTGGGGGGAGGGGGGGGCTGGGAAGGGATGTGAAGGGTAAACGAAGGAGGAGGCTGCAATGCTTGGTAAGAAATGTATGCATTATCCTACCCATGTAATTGTAACTCCTCTGTACAGTATGTTCACAAATTAAATTAAAAAAAATGAAAAAGAAAGCATGGCCTTCCAGACCTGCCCTGAACCTCATCCATCCCTCCTGTCTCCCCCTCACAGTCTTTTAGGATGAGGGCTCCAGGAATACGGATAAGATCCTGAACCTCATCTCAAATTCTTCTGCCTACTACAGTCCAAGCAGTAAGGGGTAGTGAGGAGGGAGCATACATAGGAAATCTTTGAGCTCATTTCCCACATCTTCTCCATGGAGGAAGTGGAGTTGAGCCAACTTTCTATCTACTGAATCATCATAATTTGGATTATAGATGGACCGGGGTGAATTCCAGCAAGACTCAGTACTGAAGCAGCTGGAGGTCCTCAAAGAAGAGGAGAAGGAATTTCAGAACCTGAAGGTAAGTATAGCCAATGGGCTCTAAAGATGAAGCTCCCATTGGGTCTGAACTGCAGTTCTAATGGCCCTGATCCTAGTCCATATGAAGAACCACAGGAAGCAAAAGAGCAGGGCTTAGAAGTCTGTCAGGGGACAGGTGCCTAGCCATGCCCAGAGTACCTGTTCTCTCCACCCCTGCACAATCAAGGCTGAAAACGTGAAGGCTGAGTTACCCCACCCCACCCCAGTTTGCTTCTCCCACAGCCTTCTCAGAAGTAGATTTTCAGATTCATTGCTCATGTTCTGGGCACAAACACACACACACATGCACACAAACCTGGTCAGGAGCATCTGGAACACCTGCCAGCTTCTCACCTCTTGCTCTCGCCCACCCAGGACCCCACCAATGGCTACTACAGCGTGAACACATTCAAAGAGCACCACTCCACCCCAACCATCTCCCTGTCCAGCTGCCAGCCAGACCTGCGTCCTGCAGCCAAGCAGCGCGTGCCCACCGGCATGTCTTTCACCAACATCTACAGCACCCTGAGTGGCCAGGGCCGTCTCTACGACTACGGGCAGAGATTCGTACTGGGCATGGGCAGCTCATCCATCGAGCTCTGTGAGCGTGAGTTCCAGAGGGGCTCCCTCAGCGACAGCAGCTCCTTCCTGGACACGCAGTGTGACAGCAGCGTGAGCAGCAGCGGCAAGCAGGACGGCTACGTGCAGTTTGACAAGGCCAGCAAGGCCTCTGCCTCCTCTTCTCACCACTCCCAGTCTTCATCCCAGAACTCCGACCCCAGTCGACCCCTGCAGCGGCGGATGCAGACTCACGTCTGAGGATCCTCGTGGCACACACTGTGGGTGGGGATGGGCCGGGAAAGGAGGGCAGGGCCCCAGCACAGGCCAACGCTAATGATGGCCTCGGAGCGCCTCTGCCACCATCTTCCTTCCTGATCAAGCACAAATCTGGTCCCCAGCTGCTTGGAGCCACAGACGGGCGGGGGTGGGGAGATGGAAAGAGGATGCAGCTGAGTGCACCGTGCTTGGCATTGGACACACTGGCTCCCCGGCCCTTTCCTGGAGACCCTTCGACCGCCTGCGCCTCCCACAGGCTCCCGTGGCAGCTATAACTTTGCTTTTCTGAAACTGCCGTCCACTCTCCGGTCTCCCCCTTTGGGCTTTCCTCTCCCTGATGCCCATAAGTCCCCCCACCCCCACCCCGTGCTTGTGCTCCTCACAGCCCTGGGAAAGGGGGAGTTCTTCCCAGCACCCAGCTGCCCCAGAGGACTTACCCCACCCACCCAGCTTTCCTGCTGCTTAGTAAAAACATGCTTTGGAGGCTGAAGGAGTCAGAAATAGTCCTGGCCAAAGGAGCACACTGCTAGGGAGTCCACCCTCCAATTCGTTTGGTGTTTTGTGTCCATATTCTTGCAGTTCTGTCATTGGACTTGATGCCCCTGAATGTGGAGGTGGGACTGGCCCAATCAGAGCCTGGTATTCCCTGTGGGGGGCGGGGACTAATAAAGGGAAGGAGGGAGAATATGAACTCCTGGGGAAACATCTCACCCCACACACACACACACCCCCCTGGCCAGGCTGTGCGGTTCAGAGCCTTCCCTCCCCCACCCCCACGCCCCTGCTTTGTGTACTCCTCTCTTCCCCACGGCACAATTGGAGTTAATATAAGAGCTTCTCCAGTCAGGGTTCTTGGACCAGTCATTGAAGAGTGTTTCCTGGGGGTGAGGGTAGGAGGGTATCAGTTTGAAGGGGCTGGAGTCAGGTCTTTCAGAGGATGAAACTCTCCTCCTTGGCTGATGAACATGAGGAACAATGATCCAGTCTCCAAGAAGAATCCGTAGGAAAGCTTATCTGCGTCTCCCCCTTCCTTCTCCCCACCCCCACCCCACTCCCAACTGAGAATAAACGTTAGGGCCATTGCCCCAACAAGCCCACTTTGTTCTTTTGTACCTGCAGAGCGACAGGAAGAACTCAAGAGCCCTGAGTGTGCCTTGGGAACTCAAGATGCTTTGCTCTTCTCCACTTTGATTTTTACCAGACAGGAAGGGCTGCTGACTGGGGCTGGTTGTGGGGACAGTGGAACCTCTCAGAAGTCTCGCCTCCGATGTAGCTGTCCCCTCCCCCAGGACATGCAAAATCAGTCCTCACCAACTCCAACACGTGCCAAGTACAGCTGAGGGAATGTGGTCACCTAGACATGACCCAGGTCATTCTGCCCTTTTCTCTCAGCCCAGGACTGAATAGAGAAGGGCACTCCCTCTACTTCAGGCTCAGGGAGGAGGCCCTTTTGTAAGGGTGTTGATAACCAACACCCTAACACTTAAACTGTGGGACTCCAACAGTGTAGCAAGGATGGCCTCACATGGTTGGAAGCTTCATAGTATCATGGTGGATGGGGTGAATAAACAGGGGTAAATTACTGCTGGTACAAGGCAATAGGATTCAAATGGAACTCTGTGTAAGTGGCGAGGGCCGGTGGGGAGGGGGGGGAGGAAGCATGTGTGCCAGTACTGGGACTGGGTGCTATCCCTTAGGTTTTTTTTTTCTTTTTCTTTTTTTTTGCTTATGTGGTGCTGGGGAATCGAACCCAGGGCCTCAGGCATGCAAGGCAAGCGCTCTACCACTGAGCCACCTTCCCAGCCCAATCCCTTCGTTTTTTTATTCAAGGCTAGTACTCTACCACTTGAGCCACGGATCTACTTCTGGCTTTTTGTTGGTAAATTGAAGAGTTTCATGGACTTTCCTACCCTTACTGGCTTTGAACTACAATGCTCAGACCTCAGCCTCCTGAGTAGTTAGGATAACAGGCAGGAGCTACCATCACCCAGCTTCACATGAAACGTTGGAGAATTCAAATTGTCGTTAAGGCTTAAAGGGTCTCATTGGCTGCTTCTCCAGCTTTCCTGGAAGTCCTTACCTATGTGGTCTCAGTCTTAGATTCTATGTAGATCCTTTCTAGCTCCTCAGATCACAGGAACTTACTAATTCCATCTTATTTCCTAGTGCTTGAAAACCTCCCTGTTCCCCGAATCTCTTCCTTTGAAGGCCCAAGCCTGAGGGAGTAGAGACCTATCAGGAGAAACACCCCAAGTCTACATCCTACCCCGATGCCATTTTCTCTCTCTCTCTCTCTCTCTTTGGTTAGTCATGGGCTTGAACTCAGAGCCTTGACACTCTCCCTTAGCTTTTCTGTTTGAGGCTAGTGCTCTACCACTTTGAACCACAGCTCTACTTCCAGCTTTCTGGTGGTTCATTGGATAGGAATCTAATGAACTTCCCTGCCTGGGCTGGCTTCAAACTTCGATCCTCAGATTGCAGCTGTTAGCCTAAGCCCTCTCTAGGTTCATTTCAACAAGTTCTCCCTTTCCCATTTTTTATCCCTCATCCATGTTTTCTTCTTCCCTTATAGGATTGCTAATAGGACAAGACTCCAAGGCCATGTACAAAATGCCTTGATGGGATAGAATAAGGAAGTGATGACTTAAGTTTTGTCCACTAATTTCCCCGGGTCTTCCCCACCTTGGTAATGGATAATCTACCTCCAAGATACTGACTATGGCCTACCTTGCTCTTGACCCTGGAGGTCACAGGCATGCAAAACCACAAGGATGCAGGCAGACATTCTTTTTCTAGAATCCAGGGTTATGTCAGAGTAAGCTGAAGAACAGGAAAGAAATCTGACCTATCGAATAGAATGAGCCCTTCTCTCTCTTGGGTCTGGACACTCCCAGAGGAAGAATGTGGATTATGATTGGAGAGGAAGAGAGAGCACCAGGGTAACCAGAGACTAAACGGTAGGATGCCTAACCCTGCGGTTCCCTCTTGTGCATAAATGCAGCCAGAAGTGATAAGAAGTTACTGTAGGGTCTTTGTGAAAGAGGAAAGCACAGAGGGACAAAAATTGAAGCAAACTGGATGACTCTGGAGCATTGAAGAACCCAGACCGAGCTATGTGTGGACCTCAGCTATCTACCACTATTAAATCATGTGTGTGTGTGTGTGTGTGTGTGTGTGTGTGTGTGTGTGTGTGTCTGTGCACGCATACTAGTACTGGGGCTTGAAGCTGGCACTCTACCACTTGAGCTACACCTCCAGTTCCAGATTTTTTAAATTTAAGTCGAGATAAGAATCTCAAAGAAAAAAGAAAAAAAAAAAAGAATCTCAAAGAGAGCTGGGAATGTGGCTTAGTGGTAGAAAGCTTGCCTAGTATGCATGATGCCCTGGGTTTGATTCCTCAGTACTACATAAACAGAAAATTCTGGAAGTGCCACTATAGCTCAAATGGTAGAGTGCTAGCCTTGAGCAAAAGAAGCTCAGGGACAGTGCCCAGGCCCTGAATTCAAGCCCCAGGACTGGGGGGAAAAAAGGAATCTCAAAGACTTTTCTGCCCAGGCTGGCTTTGAACTAAGATCCTCAGATCTCAGACTCCTGAGTAGCTAGTAGAGATGTGAGCTATCAGCAGTCAGCACTATCAACCTTTTTATTTTTTGGGGGGGGGGTCCGGTTGTGGGGCCTGAACTCTGGGCCTGGGCGCTGTCCCTCAGCTTTTCAGCTCAAGGCTAGCGCTCTACCACTTGAGCCACAGCGCCACTTCCGGCTTTTTTCTTTTTGCTTATGTGGTGCTGAGGAATCGAACCCAGGGCCTCAGGCATGCAAGGCAAGCGCTCTACCACTGAGCCACCTTCCCAGCCCCTATCAACCTTTTTTTGCAAGGCATGAGAGTCCAGGAAAAAAAAACAGCAAAGGGACATGGTTTAAAGTGAATAAATAAATGAAAGTCCTGAATTCCCTTGTAGGTGATTTCACAATTAATGAAATTAGCATTTGATATTTGAACTCTTGCTTAACCCTCCCAGTTCTACAACCTATTGCTATGTTTTTACTGATGTGGCAGTGGGATTTAAAGAAGCCAAAAGATTTGGCCAAGATCGCAGAGGTAACAAGTGGCAAATGTGAGATTTAAACACATGATTTCCACTAGAAGTTTCCATTCCCACGGTGCAGACTCAAAGCAACTCTCAGTCCAGGGTAAGGGTGGAAGTGGCTAATGGTACAGGCCTGCTACCACTCCAGGGGCAGTCTGGGAAACCACAAGCCCCAGCTCCATTATGAAGGTCGGATTCCACCCTTCACCTTAAGTCCCCAAATAACCTGAAAAGACCACAACTCCCTCTGAAACAAAGCTATTCTGTGTGTCAACTCACCCCCACCCCCTACCAAGGCCAGGATCCAGTTTTCTGATAGCTCTAAGTTCATTATTGGCTCAGAGGTACTGGATGGGAGCCCAGTTTCTAATTCTCAGGCTTGCTATCAGTCTGTAAAGGCCAGGGTTATTTCCACCACCTCTTCAACTTCCATGGAGTAGGAAGTATTCTCACGTGAAGAGCTAAAATGCCACATCAAACCTATTTCTGCCAAGACCTCTTTAAACAAATCCTAATATAATAAAGTTTTAGCCCTGGAAGTCACCTTTGAGTTTCCGGAATGGAAAAAAAGACTCAAAGAAAATGAAAACAAATTGGAGGTAGTCCTTGGGAGATTTCTCAGAACAGGAGAAATGAAGTCCACAGGAAATCAGTCTTTACTTCCTGGCTGGGGAATGATCTGTGCTTCTTTGGGCACTTGCTATTATGGAGCTTATCCTTGAAACTCTGAGTTATATGTCCAGTTGTATACGTTGGTGTAATTGGTGATGACCCCAGAACAAAACAACAGGAAAATCTGGTCACTAGTGGTCTTCTCTAGAAACTTCTCTATAAAGCCACTTTTACTCTCTCTTCCACTCTTTCCAGGCACACCACGGATCTACACCCACCAGCTCCCAAACTCTTTATTAAAATAAAGCATAGCCCAAGGCTGG